AAAAGAATAATATAAAAGCATGCAATAAATAATGCCTTTACAAACAGAATAGTATTGAAATTTAACAATTAAAATATAAGACATAATTAATTAATTCAATAATTCTACAGCTGGTTCATGATTTGATTCGAATATAATAAAGCAAATGGATTTGTTAATAAAAACTTTTACAGCAAATTAACAAAAACTTCTAAAACATGTGCAAACATAAAAGTCAAGTACGGCTTTGAGTCAGTTGGTTAAGGTGCGCTGATTCTGAGCTTCAAATTTAGCAGGGCACGAGTTCGATTTCTAGTACTTGCAGTCTCAAAAAATTATTTATGAATAATTAAATATAAGAATTATTGTTAAGTCTATTGATGATGGATATTTGGCAATACTTGAAACAACTATATGATCAGCCAACAATTCAATTAATTAAAATAATATAAAAAATAAAAAGAATTTTTGTTGTTGTTTACTAATTTTCGAAAAACCTCTTTATTAAAAATTTTATAATTTGAAAAGTCTGTTCAGTAGAATCAAATTCGTTTAAACTAAAGATACTTCATTATGTTACAAACTACTACAAATACTCTGAGATTTTCTACTCAATATAAATTTAAAGTACTTTTTGTATGCTCTACGTAATTTATTTTTTGCTTATTTCAATGTTCTCTAATGTTTTGAAATAATTTTCTCACTTCTTAGTATAATTGCTTTGAAATGAATTCAGATTTTATTCTATGTTTAATCCTTTGTAGCACTTAACTACCCTCGTAAAATGCAGAAAAACTGTTTTGCTTCTTAAAATGCAACTTATTATTTTCCATTATTGCCAGAAAATTATCGTAAATCTAACAAACGTAAAAACACTTGAAGCGTTTTAATCTTTACTACTACAAATTTGCCTTGGAAAAATTTCAACAAATAAACTAAGCAACTACTTGAGTTTTCTATTTGTGTTCCTAGCCATGCGATTCATACACATTTTTCTCTGGTTGGTCGTGATTTCTATGGTTCTCCCTAAAGGCCATCACTCTGTATAAATAAAAAGATTTCGTTCCTTTCAAACCGAATGAAGTGAAATTGCCTGCAACAGCGTCATCTGTGGCACAAAACACGTTACAAGATTTTTTCATTAATTTTAAATGAAGTTTTTCTTCATTTATTGGCAAGAAGCGCACTTATTACGTTTAAAAGCACAAGTTGCCAATGTCCCGGAACTGTGTCAAATGTGCTAAGAAATGTGCTCATTGCTATTCATTTGCACTTGAATGGCAATGCAGCAAAAAGTAGAAATCTGCTTGGTTTCTTTCCACTATCAGTAGTACTGAGTATTGCAGCCGAACGCTCAATGTCGTCTGTCCGTCTTATTGCATTTTGGCTCAAATCCAAACCGAAATTTAAAGCAATCTTACCTCAACTTAAAACCACAAATGCAGTTTGCATGTATACTTGGCTGCGAGGGTGATAGCGGACGACGTTGATACTTATTTAAGAATTTATGAGATATGCTTAGAAGTATTAGAAGATGTGCCACGTGCAACATGGATAATACGGATAACATTTCTTCCCACACGTTACGTTTCGCTGACTGCAATGCCAACGGCTATGTGTTTGTATGCCTGCTATTTGTAGTTCACATTTTTAAACAAAGAACAAAAAATAAAAAATAAAAACTTCAAATAAAAGTTTAAAAAGCAAGAATTTGTGTAAATATTTGCTCATTGGTATTAGCAACCTTTTTCCTTTTCGACAGAGCCTAGTTTGCGGCCGGCCATGCTTTTCAGTTGAGACTGCCAGCGGCCAGGGCCCAACAAACATCAAATGTCGAATGTGCAGAAAGATGCTTTCATGTTGTTTTTAATGGCTCTCAAGGGGTTTTTGTGTAACTTTTAAACAGCGAGCTTCCTTATTTTCAAAATATAATATCTTCACCTCTTGGTGTAAAGTGCCTGCCATATTGAAGTACGCACCAACTGCAGCCTGTCAGTTGTGCGTCTCCTGCAAACTTGTAAACGTCAACGGTTACGCTTTGCTTTCCTGCTAACAAAAGTTTTCCAAGTTAATTTTTCTCAGTGTATAGTAAAATTAATGCAAAATGTTCTGTCGACGTTGCTGGATTGATTTCGCCTCCAGTGATATTTATGTACAATGCTCCGGGCCATGCGCTTGGATGTTTCACGGCAGATGCATTAATATTGAGGAAGAGGTGGTTAGGGAGTTGCAGCACAACAAGGAGTTAGAATGGTACTGCAAAAGTTGTCGTGAGTTGTACCGGCTGCAATTATACTTCGAGGTAATAAATTTTGTCAGAAAGTTTTAAGTGATAATTATGAATTTACATGCGTTAAATATTTGTATGCCACACTATGCGGCATATGTGCAAAAGTCCTTGGCATTTGATACGAAACCGTTAAAGTGGCAGAGATACAACTATATAATGAGTTGCTAAAAGCGTTTCACTTAAGTGTTTACTTTTATTTTAATTTTAGAAATAAAAACGAATAATAAAATATTAATATGCGAAGCAACCTTCAACTTTGTAAAGTGTCTCAGATGTGAAAAAATTAAGTACAAGTATTCCCAAAAGTTACAAGAAGAATAAAAAGAGTAATAAAAAGAAAAAAAATTAATTAAAAATCCAAGAATTAATGCGACTAGTTATTTTAAAGAAGAACATATATTACAAAAATTTTTACACTATTATTTAATTTTAATTAAAAATTATTTTTGTGCTTTCTAATTATCTTGTATTTTATGACAAAAATAAAAGGCATCTGTTGTTGCATACATGACATATGCACTCGGAGACAATTATTGTCCATTGTGAAACCCTTAACGTCGTATGTCGCATATTGGCCATTTGTATGCAGAACACTAAATGCTTTTTGTAAAAGACCACAACCAATTGCTGTCCAAGCAACATCTTCTTGTGTGCCATACAGATAAACATTCTCATGGCAATATTTTTATTACAGCTCTCCCTCCAAGATGCATTCGTCAATCCCTTTTGTCATATTATAGATATAACGACACCTATTGTCGTTTGGAGATGACGCTGTTGCGGGCAATTCCATTTCATTCGGCTTGAAAGGAACGAAATCTTTATATTTATACAGAGTGATAGAGCTAATATCAGTGAGATTAAATTATAATGCGGACTAACAGCCCTCTACATGGAGGCAGTATATTTTCAAGACCAAGGTTGCACTACAACAAAATTATCAATAGACTTCGGCCCAGAGTTCCATTTCTAGTGAAGACGGAAGCTTTGCCGTGCAGTAAGAACTATCCTGGCTCAATTGAGAGCAGAATACTGCTATGTGCTAGATAATTATTTGTCATGTACAAATACGTTAATGCGTGTCTTAGCTGCAGTTCTATCTTCTACGATGTCGTCTATTTATTTTTCTGCTTCAATACGCACATAAATTTGAGTCCAATCGACCTTTGGACCCAACCCATTAAATTGGTTAGTTTCCTTCGTCGTTATCTAGGTTGAGAGAGAGATTTCAATTTAAATTCCAACTATCTTCGTACCATTTTTACTCCTAAATAATCTCATGCCAGCTCACACTACGATTACCTATCTTCATCCAAACTCATATATATATGAGTATATATACATCTTATTGATTCCTTGCATATTAGCTGCTTTGTGGTTTCTTGCGGGTTACAATAGCAAGGAGAAGGCGAGCTATACTAATCATTCATTAATTATTCCGTGATATCCTTTTCAAACCATTTGATTTTTAAATGAAGTTAAGGAGATTCGATAAGTCTACTTTGACTAACTATGCAAGGTCGGTGCAGATGTGCCGTTCTGAATATTGAAGCTGCTTTGTCTGTAGTTTTGAAGATTCCACTTCATCAGTATCATGGCAACTCCCGCATAATCCGAAATGTGGCACAGTTAATGCGTTGGTGCAATAACTTCGTAAATACTTCGAAAAGCGCACCTATAAAATATTTATTCTTCTCCTCTCTAATCTAGGCCATAAGGTGTTCACAGTCTAATCGATTACTTTATAATTTTTTTACGACTGCCAAGGACAATATTGAGAAAATGTTCACTATTTATTTTTTACTAAAATAGAAAATTTATTGATTAGTTTTATCTGTCTAAGAAATGCATTGCAATAATAAACACCTTAAAGTGTTTATTGTGTTCTGAGTCATCTATAAAAAAACTTCTATACGTTAGTCGATATGTTAAAGTTAATTTTTTTTTGTTTATATTTTTTTGTAAAAAAAAAGGAATCGTTATCGCTTAATTTTAAATGGAAAATAGAAAATACCGAAAAACATATTAGCATGCAAAAATGTAATAAGCCAGCCTTCTTATCATTATTATTTTTTGTTTATGAATATCATTATATTTTTTATATAATTTCCTTTCACCCACCCTCGACTTAAGCTACCCATAAATGATATATGGGATTGAACTCAAAGTTGTCGGGAGGCATAAATTATGAATAAATTTAATTTCTTATAACATTTGTGTGGGTTAAATTAGATTTCCTAAACAAAATTGAGAATTTTTCGTTAAGAAAGAATATATTTTATGCCTAGAAAGTTTTTATAAGTTTATCGGCTTATTGAATTTGAGTAAACTTAAATAAATTTCATTGTGTTTTTCTATTATTATAAATAAAGCAGTTTCCGCAACATTCGAGAAAGGTTTCAGCCTTTCAGGCATATCAATGGGGTTATTAGAAATCTGGATAATATATTATATTAGCCTTATACTACATTCAATTTAAATGCTTAAAAATTTTTAAAATTTTTGATTTTTTACTAAATTTTCTACTCTTTTGATTTTTGTATGGGTTACAAATTTAAATGAACACGAAAATTCTTAGAAAAAACCTTTTTAAGTAAGAG